AACTAACGGGCGTGGGCCACTCCCGACGCTGAAGGGGTACACGCCAGTGCATGCTGTGCGCTCTGTCTTTCGCTTTCTAAGAGGAAAGGCAGACTTGTAGTGCAGTGACTTTCGGCCGTATCCTCACACACAAGTGAAGTCATTAAAGAACTTCATGGATGTGAGACAGTAAAAAACTGTGGTCCCTTAGTTCTGCACTAGGACGAAAATATTCTAACAGAATGTTTACTCATTAAATATGAACACATGCTACGTGTTCATAAGGTGGCAGGAGTTAAAACACCATCCTAGCTTTACCTTCTAGGCAGTGAGGACAGCTATTAAGCATCTGGCCACCCTCGGCATTGCCCTGGCATCGCGTGTGCCATGGCTCTCGTTCTCACCAGAGCTCGTGCATAGGTGTCCTTATCACAGTTGTGCCGTCAGGAAACGGAGGGTCAGCAAGTTCAGAAACTTGCCTGATGTCACATAGAAAGTAGCGGAGATGGGATTCAAATCTAGATGTACCTGCTTCCAAATACCTTGTTATTTTCACTGTCTGCATTAGTTTTAATTATTTAAAACTATACAAGATCAACAAAGACTCATTTAAACACATAGATAACAATGAAACAAAGCAGGTATGCTTACTCTATTTTTAAAAATAAACAAACAGATCAATCTCACATCAAAAAAAAAAGTGGCCTATCCCTGTTAGATTTTAAACTATCCTAAGCCAATTCCAAAATGCTCCATCAGACACAGGGAGGTCAGCTTGGCCTAGTGATGGGTTAACCCGTTTCTGACTGATGGGCATGGCTCACTGGAACACCTCAGCTGGGGAAAAGAGTTGCCAAAATATTTATCCCCTCAGCCCTCAGGACAACACAGTGAGAAGTGGGGAGACCATGGCACAGGAAGTCCACTGGCCAGGAATGGCCTGGTGGGTTCACCCTGGCATGCACCATAAAAATATTACCTTTTTAAACTGTCACGCCCTGACAACAGTTGGGAAGCACTGGACTAAAAGGGCGCTCCTGCAGAAAGTAACACAAGTAATTTTTGAGTATGAGAATTGATGTCTCTGCTCTAATATCACCATCCCATTGTACTGGTTTACCACTCTCAAATCAGCAACTTTCAATGTACTTTATATTTGACTTGAAAGGAACACTCTGGTATTACTAAGACACGCACAGTATCAGGGACAGGGATGTCGGAGTGGTGTGCTGTCAAGAAGCGGCAGTGGTCAAGCGTATGGTCAGCCTGCACTCCAGTGTAACAGCGTTCCATCATGGTCACTGGAACTGTCATGGTCACTGTGAACTGCGTAGATAGGAAAGTGCAAAAACAATTTGCATTCAGCATGGCCACGGTACTGTTTGATAGCAAAACCACATGCCTTTGGGACTGTAGACCACAACAGAGGCCGACGTACTATGTGACACTGAGTGCAGTTTTTAAATGAAGATAAAGTGGAATTTATGACCTCTGAGTGTTATTCGTTGTAGCAGTATTCAGAATCTATTTTCATATATTCAGTACCATTTAATTTCTGAATGATATTCAGAAAAAATTCACTGAAATGTTCTTTTAGATGTTTAGTATACTTTTAAATTTTACATCTGTTACTTGTCTGCTCTATTTAGATTTGTTTTGAAAATTTCTTCAACTATTTTACAAAAACTACAGAACACTATTTACAACATATTTATTGAATGTAATTCATGAAATAATCTATTTTTACTTCCCTTTGAGAGATACTTGTGTTCTTGATACATTTCCATTAAGTGCTTTTAACACAAGAGGATATATTCACATTCTCATAAAACTGATTGTTAAGGTAACAGGTATAGTATTTGAGAACACTTTGAAGTTCGTCTTTGCCTTTTCCCTGAAATGTAGAGGTGGAATTCACAGAAAAGCAGAGGGAGAACAAACCATCTATTTTACCTGTGACCTGTTCTGCGTAACAGTAAAACTTCCACTACTCATTCTGACCACCAGGTGGCATTTTTCTACAAAGTGAAATGTTAACTTTACTCTCTGTGTCAGTTGTCGCTCCCCTGCACTGAGCACAGATGTGACAAGCAGCAGACTGGGGGAAGCGGATGACAAAGACAGGATCCCAGGCAACGGGGGCAGGCACATCCCTGTTTAAGTCAGAGTGGCACCTCAGAAGTGATACAGTGGTCACAGAGACCCTTGAGATGAAAGCAAGATGCTTTAGCAGCTGTCCAGGGAGTAGGTAGGAACATGAAAGACAACACAGGGTGGGGACTGCCTGTATATGGTCTGTAATACCTAAAATATACTTATTTGTATTCTTTTTACAAATTTTGTAAAACAAATTTTGTGCAATAGCTCTGATGATCAAAGGTGAGAGTTCTACCTAGTTTTGAATGAGTGTTCTTAAGAGGGTAAGAATGTTCCGGTACTAAATCTGCCAAAAAAGAGACCACTGATATGCCAATAAATTTAGTGATCTTTTCAAAAGTGCTGAGGAGGCAAAGGTTACAAATTACGTCATACAAACATAAACCGATTAATCTGATATAGATTGCTAACTTTGAGTTTCAGTTAATTCAATTTGTAACAACTATTAATGACCATTGTTTACAATAAAGATTCTTTCAATTGTTTGCTGTTAATTTTTTAATAAAACACAAGCAGGTTTTTATTTAATCATACAAACATGATGGATTTAAATATAGCTCGAGACTGAGACACCATCGGTATTAACGTAATCCCTCTGGAATCCTAGAGCTCAAATTTAGAAGTTGTGCATCCCTACCCACCCTCTGCGCATTGCAGGAGGCCTTTCTCCCTCCGGTGGCCGTTCCGTGGGTGTCCCAGGGAAATACGCACCCTGTCACCGTGGCAAGAGGCCAGAGCCGGGAGGTGAAAGGGTGAAGGTTTGCCACGGGGCAGGCTCCCTGGGCAGGTGGGTGGAGCCTCACAGGCTCAGGTCTAAAATTCCTACCTGACCTGCTCCAGACAGAGACCCACTGGGGAACTACGGTACCTAAAGATAAGGTATGCCTTAGAAACAGTGCTACCACTGTGTTCTTTCCACATCTTATCAAAAACAGCCTCTTCTGCTTTTTTCTTCTAATTGTTTTAACTTACCTTCCTTTTACTTCCTGTTTTTTCTGCTGCCTTCTCCCTCTCTCACTGTCCGACACCCATGCACACCCAGTATTGCCAATTGCTTCCTCATACTTCAGCTTGAATATGTCCGCTTAAAGGTTTATGTTTTACCTAATTGTTTTCTATTTCCTCAAAATTTTCCTGAAGTTCTGAGGGCTTCTTACCTAATACATGTAAGCTTATATGTAGCATATATCATTTTTCTTTAATAGCTTTTACTTTAGAACATAAGTTCATCATTACCTAGCTGTTTTGAACTCAAGTGTATTAGTTAATGTATAGATCTCTTCAGCTAAGAAAGAACCAGGTCAGTGAAAATCTTTAACTTATGTCCTCTTAAGAACAAGTATTTTTAACCACATTCTTTTCAATAATTCAATGAATTATTGTATTTTTGTCTCTGATATTGTTATGTTAACTTGGTGGTGTACAGTTGCATATAAAATGATTGCAGCTTTCAATTATAGAAATGATATCTTTCCAACAAGAAATTAATTCAGTTTCTGGTATTGCATAAGAGCCACACTATAAAAACAGTCACTTCTGCACACTCCAGGGCACTGTTGCAGTTCGTGGCTACGTGTACCTGAATTTAGATGCCCTTCAAAACATGGAGAACTGGCCTTGTGTGAAACCAAAGTTTAGAAGTTACATGGTCAATTTCATTCACTTCATTCATTCATCCAAACGTGATGGAAAATGTTTACATATCCGATAAATCACGTGGAAATCATGGTCCATACCTTCTAGGAGCTTACTATCTTTTGGGGAGTTTAAAACAGATACAAAACAAAGAAATAGAATGCAGGGTAATATTGATATTCTGTCAAACAGAATGTTACTAAAATGCCTAATGTTAGTGATGCGTTCCTCCATTCAGTAAATATCTACTGAAAGATTTCTGAAAAGACAAAATAGAGGCTAAAGCCAGGAAAAACAAACAAACAAAAAAACAGGTCTTCAGGCCATAACATTTGAGCGGACTGTGTAGGATGCGGGCTGAGGGGAGCAAAGGCCGTTGAGCTTGGAGCTGGAAACAGACTTGACAGCTGACTTCGGCGTGGGGCGCATGCGTACAGTGCCGAGCGCAGCCTCCTTGCGCAGCGGCTCACAGGCATTCACGTGCTCACAGGTCAGCTAGGTGATGCGAAGCCCTGAGGCCACCCGGGGAAGGCCCGTAGACTCCAGGCACTAAGGAGCCCGTTGAGGATTTTGGATGAGGGAATGAAATGAGGAAAACAGTATTATGGGGAAATAACCCTTTGGAATCTTGTAAGATGGGCCAGAAGAAGGAAAATCAAGAGGCTGTGGCAGGAGAAACCACCTAGTGATGAATTAAAATGGTATCATCAGAACAGTCGGGAAGGGACAATTTGTTGCAAACCTACACACTGAATAATGTGCTTCTTTGTACGCTCACTAGTTTTTTAATGGAATGTAGTCATTAAAACAAGTCATGAAAACTTACTTTTGAAAAAATCATTGTGTGATATTTAGCCATTGAGCTGTATTAATATTGTTTTAAAACTTTTAATTGCTTCTCAAAAATCTTTGGTGATGAAGGCACTTGCTGTTTCCGTATCTTATTACATCTTCATGGTTCTGAGGCAGAGCACCCTTCTGTAGTAATCCACTTTATTTATGTTGGGTATGTCTACATGATTTCCAAAGGATTTGGTAAGTCTCAGAGACAAAGCTTGTAGTTCTCCTAGTCATTAACAAGAAAACATAAAGAATCTCTTGTTTGAGTTGGACTTTCCACCCATACAGTTCCACCGTTCAGTGTAACTGGAGTCACTCACGTAATAAACTGTGTGGTTGATTACACTGTTTGTAGATAATAGACTCTGCACTCATGACCAGCAGGGAAGCAGAGATGTATTTAGTATTGGTAGGTTCCCCTCACTGCAAGGCAGAATGCAGCACCAATGGTCCTGGAGAAGCAGACACAGAGGTGAGGCCCGAGTGCGTATGTATTTTCTGAAAATCTGGGGGTGTCCTCTCTTTAGAATGGGACATAAACGTAATTTTATACTCCGGCTGTACCATTTTTGGTAGCTACACTTTAATGCCATTAGTTCTAAGAAATCTCTAAGAAATCTCTAAACATTCACTTAAATTGGCAATCAAGGCAAGGTAATTTTCCTCAATCTTACATTGAAAAGTAATTTTTCTGCTTATTTGCTGTTTTTACACAAGTTATAATAAGTCGATTCATTTTCCTTCCTCCAGGCATTATGAAAAACCTGTGTTTCAGAGTCCTTACCATGGCTGTAGGTCTTTATTTTACTGGAGCAATGGCAAACCCACCAAGAAAACACAGTATTGTTTTAAGTGCCGCGTGCCAGTGGGATGGATATCTCCTGACAAACTGTTCCTTCACGGGGAAGCACGATATTCCTGGTGACGCATCACAGACAGCAGCCACAGCGGGTGTGCGTTCCAGTTTCCTTAGGGTTCTCTTACAAACTCCCACGGACAAAGAAGGACAGAATATAAAACATCTGGACCTCAGTAACAATCTCATATCAACAATAACCTTGAGCTCCCTTGCACATTTACACACTTTGGAAATAGTAAACCTCAGCCACAATGCCATCCACTCCATCTCACTGGATCTACCCCATCCTAAGTCCTCGCGGGCGAAATGCCCCAGAAGCAGCTGGAGAAATGGGCTTCCATATCTAAAGTTGCTCATTCTTCAAGGAAATAAACTCAGTGACATTCCCAAGGGTAAGTACTAGGCCAGCAATGAGTACATGGAGAGTTAATGTTTTATGTCAGTGAGAATGCCATGTTCGCTTTCAGTTTTGAGGCAATAAATGAAAGTACAGCTGTTGGATCCAAGCAAATATAATAATCCAAGGAGTTTCTTCATGGCATTGGGAATTAAAAACTGTGGAATTTATAGTGAAAGCTATTTAAACTTCTCATTAATGTTATGTTGATTTGTCGAGAAACACTAGGAAGTATTTAAGGGCTAAATAATAATGCATAATTTTAAATTACCTACTTTGATTACCATTTATTTGTGACTAAATATAGAAAAGCACTGAGAAATAACTAGTTCAGATACTTTCAGTGTGTAAAACAATTTAAATCTATTGCCATATTTATAATTTTCTTTTAGAATATATTTTGCTTTTACTTATCCAGTTGTCCTCCAAGTATAGACTAGAAATATGCTAATATTATATATTACTACATAATCTTTCTTATTATCAAGTCAAAATCAGAATTCCTTATCCTGGTTTCTTACAGGATACTCTACATATCCTCTTGTTATAATAAATTTTCATCCATTCTGACATTTAATAACCTACATGTTGGAATTCCTTAACTAATCCACCAATGTTTTATTTAGAAAATGTATCAGATTCATCAGCCAGAGCTTCCTTTGCCCTTTTTATAGCCAGAGAGCTAGACGATTTTTTTTTCCTTGTTTGCTGTCCATCTTGGTTGTTATCTGCTAAGTGCCTACTTTATATAAGGTGCTACATGCTAAAAAAGAAAGTGTAAGGATATTGTTGTTTTTCTATCCCAATTATGCATATTTAGTCTTCCTCAGTTTTTACTTTTCATATTTTTTTAAATTTTTTGCTCTTTCTCCAATTTCTAGCCTTGTTTTAAGCATCACTTTGACATACATAGTAGCCCGAAGGGGTGCAGGAACCCCCCAGGCCCGTCCTCACATCAGCAGGACGGTCAGAACGGGGACGAGTCTTCTCTCCCTGATCTTTTCCGGAAAAGCGATGTGCAGTATTCTCAGTGTAAAGTGTAAACTAAGTACACTAATTTTACAATTGTTATTGTACTGTTCTTGTTATAAGAAGGAATACCTGTTATTTCTAGAACATTAAAATTTGAAGAAAAATTTTAAGGGAAAAATTAAAGTCCTTCATGTAACATATATTCTTTAAGTTTATTCTTTATGTCTATATATATATTATTTCAAATTGGATTATACTTTCTATATTTCATAACTCATATTTTTATATCACAGAATATTTTGAATACTTTTAATCTAAGCAATCTTATAAATAATATTTTAAATACTTTCTATATTATAACTCATTTAATCAAACAACATTTAGGTTATTTCCTTTTTGTTTGCTTTTTGTTCCTCCTTGATGAACATCATTATAGCTATACATATGCAAGCGATATAACTGTTTTTAACTAGTATGGTAGATGTGAATCTCAACCCACAGATTAAAGTGTACTAGAGAGATGCTCTTCCATTGTCTGTAACTCAACATAGTTTCTGATTCTGAACCCACATTCCACTAGGATCAGTTGGGGGTGGGGTGTAGGGTACTCATACTTAACATCAATCTTTCGTGAGCTTTCCTCTGCCTTTTCCCAGATTCGTACCACCGCTCTGGGATCTGACACCCTGACAAGGCATCAAAATGTGTGTGTCCATATGCATCCGTCTGTCCCTCACCCCCATTAGTCACAGAACATTTCTTTTCAGCCTTTTCAGTTGGAGAAAATCCTTCCCCCTTTTTGTCTCTTCAAAATCCTCTGTCTAGTTCTAGAGATTCCTTTCCTCTAAAAGTGTAGGCCTTTGGAAAACAAAAGCCAGAAAGACTGTGAACTCCTCTGCTTTGTGCCTTGTGATGTGCACCCGCCCCAGGACAGTTCGCACAGATGGAGCTTTCTGCGTGAATGGAGGGCAAGGGAAAGAGCGAGACAGAGAGGGTAAAAGATGAATACTTCAAATATGATCCCACCGCATGAGTAAATAGGAAAGTGCTGACTGTATCTCCTTAAGGCAGATGAAGTCCCCAGAGGTCATTAAAGGTTAGGGCAAATACAATTCTGTTTGGGGACCAAATATCCCTACCAAATGCAGGTACAGCCCCACCTCCCTTTTCTCAGTTAAACTTGGCATCCCAAAATATCAGGGAAAATGTTACACGTGCAAAGGAAAAAGAAAAGAAGTGAAATGACGAATTCGGTGTCTGAAATTCTATTAGAATCCTGGCGAATGAAACCGCAGAGAGATGGATGGAACAGATGGGCGACGGGCCAGCGTGTGCCCAGACTCTAACTGGACACAATGCGGAGTTCCTTTACCCACAGCATTTTGTGATAGGAATTATTTTCCCAAAAGCGACACACATTTCCAGTTTTTACTAAATTGAGTCCCTTCTGCCGTTCCCTCCCATTTTATGATTCAGTGGCTATGGCTGAATAACTCTGACTTTAAAATCCCACTTTGAAGGAAAAAGCAGGTGAGCGGGAGGGATTTCCTGGAATGAGTGGCGAGCTCGCTCCGACAGTTCCTTTGTTCCTTTCGACTCCTCCATTCTAAGCCCGTTTAAAGGCAGCACCTGGATGATGCGGATGCCCTCGTAGAACTGTGGTGAGGAATAAAGAAAAAGTGCATTTCAAGAACCTAATTTAACATAGTATTTGGCATGCTAAACAGTAGCTGTTAAAATATATGAAAATTCTTTGTAACCTTGTTGAGTAGTTTGCAAATATTAGTTATTATTACTCTGTGGTGCAAACTGAGACTAAGTTTATTCAGAAACAAGCACTACATCTATTTTTGTCGGAATCTCGAGCAGCTTTTAGAGTGTTACAGGACCACTGCAGTAGGTGGGACTCCTCGCCTGCTGTAGTTCACGTACCAGGCAACACTTGTGTTTGACTATGTATGTAGGTGCTTGCTCTTATCTAAAACAACTCAGAGATATCTCGGAAAGCAGCAACCAAGCAGCTGGCCTTGCAGCACACGTGTACTTTTATAAATTGTGTCCTGCATGCCTTAAAACGGTGACAGTTTATAGAGCCAACAAAAAGTTGCTTTTGCTCAGGAATGCCCACTTTTGTGAGGGCGAAATCACACTGACTAACCGGCTGTCAGCCCCCTGTCTTCAGGGTCAGCTGTGATGTCCCCAATCAGCTCCAGGCCCGGGAAGCACCCGGAGGAGGTGTCAACCAGTGCAATTTACAAGGCAGAAGCCAGCTGTGAATTTCAGCTTCATGATCACTCTCCCCTCTCCCATAGTTTTGGAGTAGTGTTAATCATGGAGAATCAGTTTTAAACATTTAAAACAGGGAGGTGGGTCTCCAGTTAAACTGTCCCACCTTCATCTAGCAGTATCGTCGGAGTGCCCGCAGGCTGCCTAGAAACCTTTCAGGCCTCATATCTTACTGGGATTCCAGTTAGGTTGACAGACCAGATGGGACAGCCTGGAATTAACCGACGTGCTAAACTTCAGAACCCAAGAGTTAAATGTGTTAGAAATAAGACAATATAATACCTGACTTTGAAATCGGTGGAGTGAAAAAAAAACAATCATGTATTGTGAAAACAAAAGTACAGGGTACTTTTCATCTGTAGGGAATTAGAGATTTTATCCTGATTGCTACTGGATAATGGAAATACGAATAACCAATGTTTTCAAAATCAGTTCAAGTTGTAAAGCAACAAAATGAATGAATGTGTATTATTAAGCAAGAGGGCAATGTCTTTAGCTAACCTCTATTGATTTAACCACATGAAGGGCTGGCCTTATCAATAAATATCTAGGGCCATTCCAAATTCTATTGCAATTCTTAATACTCTTTGAACTTAAAGCCATGACCCCTGAATATTACTGTTCTGTGCTCCCAGGTGTCATACTTGGGAGAACATTTAAGATTTTCAGAGTCCAAAGCAATATTTCTAAGGCAGTGTAATGTCTCTGCACACCTTCTGTGGCCTTTTTTCTAATAAACACTGAGATAATTTCTTGGAAGCAATAAAACTGCTTCTGGCCACTTAAATGCAAAGGCTAATCAAATTCCTGCCTCCTGTGGCCTATGTGGTCATCAGAAAGCAATTCAATAAATAGCTCCATCTCCCAAAAGGGCCTCCTTATTTCCTGCCCAACATTTGACTCTCTTAAAACACAGAATCTACCCTCTGATATCCAAGCTCCAACCAATGTGCTTCCTAACCTTTTTCTCTCACCTGAATACCCACCCCCTCAACATTGATTCACCATGCAACATTTTTTTAAAAACAAATTTTCCCCCACTCAGAATGGCAGCCAAGTATCATGGAAAAGTCCTCAAATTTTCTAACTCCCTCTTGAGAGACCCCAAACAATGAAAGTCATACCTCTGATACCCTTTGGACCAACAGGCTAACAGGGCATGTTATTTCTGTAACAGTGTTGTTTGTAACAGCGTTGTTTGTAACATGGTTGTTTGGCAGAAGCAAGAGAGCAGCCCCCATCACACGAGCACATTTCTCACCCTTGCTCATATCGTGTCTGCTAACATCTCACTGGCCAAAGCAAGTCACAGGGCCAAACTCAACGGGATGGGGAAGTATATTCTGCTCACAGTAAAGTGAATATTTGCTGAACAATAATCTAAACTGTTACACCTGGCTTCCACTGAGCTCAAATACTTGAAGATCAAAGTAATCAAAGATAGACTTCTGTTCCACCTGCAAGAAATGATTTTTAAGGGTGGAAACTGAGGCCTGAAGACCTCAGGTGGTACTTCCTGATTCCCATCAAAAGTCACAAACAGAGCTGGAGTAAAACAAGATCTTAAGCACCCTATTCGCTATATGATGCAAGTGTTGTAGAATCATTAAACAATCCCCAATATGTTTGGCAACTTTATGTATTCCATGGCCCAATACTATTCTCTTGGGCAGAGAGCCCTGCCCCCAGCCTCCTTTTCCCTTTTCTAAACTCAAGTTATCTTTCAGAGCCTTGACCTTCTTCTCCCTCTCCTTTTTCCTCTCCCTCTCCCTCCTCTCCTTCTCCTCCTCCCCTTCGTTTCCTCCTTTTTATGGTAAAAAAGGTGCATGGTTAAATGGGAATGAATGCCTAAGAGATCTGAGTTTCAATCCCAGCTCCACAGGTCTACCCACCATGATTTAGGGCAAGTCCTTAACTTGCTGCACCTCGGTTTTGCAATTTGCAAAATGGTAATAACCCCCATGGCTTTGTGAGGATTAAAAGGAGATGTTTGTGAGATGCTCAGAGCATAAAAAAAGCACACAATTAAATTGGGGTTTTAAAATAAGTTCTTTCTTCTACTCCAAAGCTAGATGTGGCCTCCCCTGCACTGAACTCCTGGGGTACAGATTCAATTCAATGAAGCACTGAGAAGGTGCAGGAGCTGTGCGTTCTCAGGCTGGCATGGGCCAGGCAGGTATCACAAAAATGTCAAGGAAATAATAGCTGCTCTCATATTGGTGTCTTGCATTGCATTTTTTTTCATAAACCCATATGTTTGCCTATTAAAGCACATAGGAACATTCTTCGCCCCTCAAGGAAATTTTTTTCCTGGGGGGAAATCCTGAAGTGCCTGAGACCAGCACTCAGCAATGGCTAATTTACCAACCAACACGGAAACACTTCCTACTATCATATGCCAACCAAATACCAGCCTTGGTTGTCTCCCATGCTTTAAAACCACGCCTGCTTCTTGGCCTGTCCTTTGTCTTCCTGCTTTTAACAGAGACGCGAGTGCACAGAAGCCATACTTCTTCTGTCCGCACACGCCCCGTCTGAAACAGGTGGGCTTCCCTCCGCTCCAGCCAAATGTTGCCCTGTGCCAGCTGGAACTTCCAATTTTTTTAGAGAAGCTACAAATGCAGTTTTTTCATATTGAATCTTATTGTCGGCTCAATAATTTTTAAATAGCCATGCAGGCCCAACACTGTGACCTCGGGCTAACTGGATGCAGTCTCTGTTCACAAAGACTGAACTTCCCTGAAGGGCCTGACCATCTGACGGAGAGGACGGCTGGATGGCAGGGGCATCGCTGCCTCGTATAATGAGTAACTTTCTCTAGATGCTATCACTCAACCAGACCAGGATTCTGCGCTATATTTGTCTTCAGCACCAAACACGTTGCTCATGATATTTTGATTGCATCGTTGTCCTAAGGATCGCAGACTTAGTCTGCACAGCTGAAATGAACATATGATAGCGTAGATGTACAACCATTCCAATTAAGTCATCGCCTTTCTGCATAATCAGTCTCACAGTAAGTACCTTGAGGACAGCAGGCAAGGAATAAACCCTTCTGGAATCGAACCAACTTGATCTGCTATGTAGCAGTTGGTTCAAGACACAGAAACATGTGAGAGCAAAGCAGAAGGCTATGTAAAAATGCAGGGCTTCCTCATGGGACTCAGATGGCAAATGAAAGTTGGAAGACTGCTGTGACTGGCACCTCGTTCCCCAGCTTTCTTTTTGGTGCCACATGGGCCTCCTGTTTCCTCCCTGGCATCGGGAAAAGACAAAAAGACAGAGACCACAACTCAATTAGATGATCTGGCCAGAACGCAAAATCTAGGTAGAACCAAACTACCTTTAAAAAAATACAAAAATGCCTAGAAAGTAGTTATAAATCAACAATGAGTGGATTGAAGAAAGGATATAGCTACAAAATAGAGCAAGAACATCTTAAAACTCAGACTTCATTCATATCAATAAGCCATCAAATAACTATTCCATTTTACCCACTGTTCCATCAAATAAATGTTTACTTACTCTTCAAAGTTAGATTTTTCAAATTGATGCTTTTATTATGAATAGAATTAACACATGTTCATTGAAAGAAAAAAATGGAAGGTATGTACAGCAAAAATAGTTTCCTTCCTTCTCCAACCCCTCGTCCCCCACCACCCTGTTCCTAAGTGTCAGTCCTGCCAACGGCTTAGCTCACTTCCCTCCAGGCCTCTTTCCCTGCTCACTCGGCATTCACCCTGCATGGGAGTTGTTCTCTCCACAGTTCAGCAACTTAACACTCTCCTCTTGTGCAGCCATGTGGCTCTACCCGGCATCTTTGACGACTGTGTAGTACTTTATAGTATTGACATGCCATGTTTTGTTGAACCTCTTCTCTCTTGAGAGCCCTTTAGGTTGTCTCTCATCTTTCACCTTAGCAAGCAATGCTGCAGTCAATACTCACCAGTTTATATTTTAATTTGCTATTTGATTTTAATAGGACTGTGGAAACTGAAGTCCTTGCAGAGTTTGGATCTGTCATTCAACAGGATATCGCAAGTTGGTGTGTCTGATTTTCACAACTGCCTGCCACTGGAGAACCTCTGTTTAAGGAGCAACAAGATATTCAGAATTCATCCAGAAGCCTTCAAGGACCTCAAAAAATTACAGGTTATAAAATCAGTTTTATAATATTTCAAATACGCAGACATGTGGGCAATTACCTTAGAAAAATATTTGAAGAGTTTCTTCATGTCTAGTAGTACTGACTCTTCACCAAAAAATGTTAAGTCTATTTTAAGATTCCCCTAAGTTCGCTGAAGTCCCTCTTGCCTTGAAAATCAGAGGTTTCCGTAACGGACATGAATTGTACTCAAACCTAACACTCAGCAGCAACCACTGGCACATTCTTTTCCTAAATCAAATTAAGCCCAACTCCAAGTCTCCACTTGCCAGTTGGCGAGAAACCACACCTTTGGCTGCAAGGGCAGGCTGAAGGCCTGAGGGCCGGCCCACCTGCAGTCTGGAGCACCTGCGGAGGCTCCTCTGCTCCACACGGGTGGGTGCTGACGTGCCCGCAACCCGGGGCTGCTTGGGCCTCTGAGAGCCAATGACCTTGTGGCTTCCACCCCCAACCTGGGCCTGGGTAACAGAAATGACCATGATAAAAGCTCCTTCTCCTACAGCACTTCCCACAAGCCACACACTGTCTCAAACACCAGCTCCCCTGGCGGCTCCAGGGCACCCTGGCAGCACAGAGCAGTTAACTTCATGAAGGTGTGTGGTGAGGTGAAGGCAGGGAACCCACCCCCAGGGCTCTGCTCTAGTTTTGGCGGCTTTGGCCCTTCTCCTCCAGGCGCGTTCCTCCACCCCCTTCCTTCTCCAGGGATGTTGCAAAGTCTCCCCTGCATGCCCCTCTAGAAACACCAGGGTGGCCTCCAGTGCAACACCTGGACGCCGGAACCTGCATCACATGCCCCCTTCTCCCCACGGGCCAGGGTCATCCCACAGAAACAGAATGTGAGTCACGTGGGCAGCGTTACACGTTCTAGTAACTAGATTTTAAAGTAAATGTAAGCAGATGAATTTCATTGTAGTAATTAATGTTAACCCCATGTACCCAAATATTACCTCTTAGACACATAATCAAGATAAAAATTATGGACTTCCGGCCAGGATGGAGGCGTAGGTAGACACACTGTGCCTCCTTGCACAACCAAAACAAAGGCAAACACAAATTTAAAAACAAAAAACAACCAGAACTGCCAGAAATCAAACTTTATGGAAGTCCGACAACCAAGGAGCTAAAGAAGACACATTCATCCAGACTGGTAGGAGGGGTGGAGATGGGCAGCCGGGGTGGAGAGGACTCTCAGCAAGGCTGCAGCTGGCGGACCAGGCAAGGCAGTGGCTAGAGGACTGGGTGGTCTTACATTCATGTGAAGATAAACAGGGAGGAACAATGGAGGACTGAAGCAGACCTCGCAACCCAGGGTTCCAGCTCAGGGAAATAAAGCCTCAAAACCTCTGACTGAAAACACCTGTTTCAAGCTTCAGGAGAAACTCCCAGCCTCACAGGAGACTTCACTGGAGAGACCCACAGGGTCCTAGAACGTAAACAAAACCACCCACCTGGGAATCAGCACCAGCAGGGCCAATTTGCTTGTGGGTAGTGGAGGAGGTGACTGAAAGCCAGTGAGAGCTGAGCAAGGGGCAGTGTTCCCTCTCTGACCCCTCCCCCACATACAGCACCACAACGCAGCAACATGGGTTGCCCTGACTAGTGAACCCCTGACTCCACCCCTTATAATGTAATAGGTGCACTGAGACAAAAAATATGACCCAAATGAAAGAACAGATCAAGGCTCCAGAAAAAATACAACTAAGCAATGAAGAGAGAGCCAACCTATTAGATGCACAGTTCAAAACACCAATAATCAGGATGCTCAAAGAAATGGTTGAATATGGTTGCAAAATAGAGGAAAAAGTGAAGGCTTTGAAAAGTGAAATAAAGCAAAATGCACAGGGAACTAACAGTGATGGGAAGGAAACCAGGACTCAAATCAATGGTTTGGAGCAGAAGGAAGAAAGAAACATTAAACCAGAACAGAATGAAGGAACAAGAATTTAGAAAAATGAGGAGAGGCTTAGGAACCTTCAGGACATCTTTAAACCTTCTAACATCTGAATCATAGGTGTGCTAGAAGGAGAAGAGGAAGAGCAAGAAATATAGAGCAAGATCAAGATTGAAAACTTATTTGAACAAATAATGAAGGAGAACTTTACCAATCTGGCAAAGGAAATAGACGTCTAGGAAGTCCAGGAAGCCCAGAGAGTCCCAAAGAAGTTGGACCCAAAGAAGCACACACCAAGGCACATCATAATTATATTACCCAAGATTAAAGATAAGGAAAGAATCTTGAAAGCAGCAAGAGAAAAAGAGACAGTTACCTACAAAGGAGTTCCCACAAGACTATCAGCTGATTTCTCAAAAGAAACCTTATAGGCAAGAAGGGGCTGGAAAGAAGTATTCAAAGTCATGTAAGGCAAAGACCTACATCCAAGATAACTCTATCCAGCAAAGCTGTCATTTAGAATGGCAGGGCAGAAGAAGAGCTTCCCAGACAGGAAAAAACTAAAGGAGTTCATCATCACCAAACCTTTATTATATGAAATGTTAAAGGGACTTATCTAAGAAAAAGAAGATAAAAAATATGTACAGTAAAATGACAACAAACTTACAACTATCAACAACCAAACCTAAAAATACAAAAACAAAAACAAAATGAGCAAACGACTAGAACAGGAACAGAACCACAGAAATGGAGATCACATGGAGGGTTATCAGTGGGGAGGAGGAGTGGGGAGAATGGGGTGGGGGTGAAAAGTTACAGGGAATAAGAAACATAAATTGCCTACAAAATAGGTGATGTTAAGAATAGTACAGGAAATGTAGAGCCGAAGAATTTATATGTACAACTCATGGACATGAACTAAGGGTGGGGGGAATGCTGGTGGGAGGGGGTGCAGGGTGGAGGGGAATGAAGGGGGGGAATGGGACAACCATAACAGCATAATCAATAAAATGTATTTTTTTAAAGATAAAAACTATGTTACATTCTCTCTTTCACACGAAGTCTTCAAACCTGGTATGTACTTTACACTTACCACTCATCCCAGTTTGGACTAGCCACACTTTCACGCTCCACAGCCACATGGGGCTCACAGCCGTCATATCCGACAGCATCAGCGCAGGCAGCGGGTGCTCGCCCAGTCTCAGGCAAAGGGATAGTCGAGCACAGCTGCAAGGTGACTTTCCAGCTCCCCGCACTCAACCAGAACAACCCCTAGCTCCTTCCTGGATCAAAAGGAGACACATAGAGCTGTGATGAGGCGGGTGGACTCTGGAGCTAGCTACCTGGGTTTAAACCTGGGCCCTGCCACTTGCCAGCCACACAATTGTGGGCAAGTTACCAAGTCCTCCCGTGCCTCAACTTTCTCATCTGTAAAATGGAGACAGCTCGGTTCCTTTCTCGTAGAGGTTTGTGACAAATGTTTTAATGCATATACAACGCTTCAAACAGTACTTGGAATATAGTAAGCTCTCATAAATGTAGAATGTATATAGGAATTCTAATGTGACCAGAGTACCCTGCTCTTTTCACATACAAATCTGATTGTGCATTTAAAATGTTTCTCAGCTTTCACAAGGGCCTTGCTGCTGCCTCTCCAACCAGCTGACCTTTTGCCTGGAAGAGCTAACTCTTACTAATTCTGTTTTTAAAATATTTTATTATTTATTTGTAGAGAGGGAAAGAGAGGAAGAAAGAGAGGGAGAGAAACATCAATGTGTGGTTGCCTCTCACACACCCCTACTGGGGACTGGGCCTGCAACCCAGGCATGTGCCCTGACTGGGAATTGAACCTGTGACTCTTTGGTTCATAGGCCAGCACTCAATCCACTGAGCCACACCAGCCAGGTAATTCTCCTGATGCCACTTCCTCAAGAAAACCTTTCCTAGCATCCCGATTGAATTAGTTGCCCTTCTATATATGCTTATAAAAAGATATGCTTTTTTTCACATTCCACTTATCTAACTGAAATTAAGTTTTAAGCGTGGTTAGTGGTTAATGCCTATACCCCCATAAACTTCCACTGGATGGTGAGCTCTTTAAGGACATACTCTGCATTTATTCTGTTTCCTAGTGCTTAGCATATGTCTAATGCATAGTACCTATTTTAACACACTTTCTGAAAAAAGGAATGAATGGATAGATGGTGATCATGGATAGGCGTGTTAACTACCTATTGCTGCATAACAAATTGTTACAGACTAAGTAGTCTAAAACCACATACATATATCATCTCACGATTTTCGGGGCTCAGGAATTCAGGCAAGGCTCAGCTGGGCCCACTGCCAAGGGCCTCTCAAGAGGCTTCAATCGAAGTGTTGGCCAGGGCTAGAGCCTCGCCTGAAGGCCCCGCTGGGAAGCATCTACTTCCAAGCTCATGTGGAAATGAAGGGGAAACCTTCATTCAGTGCCTTGTGGGCTGTTGACTGAGGGCTCAGCTGCCTACTGGCAGCCTAAGCCTGCCCTCAGTTCTGTGCCCCGTGGGCCTCTCCATGGCGCAGTTCACAGCACGGCAGCTTGCAGCAGAGCCCAAGGAGGGAGCCTGCTCATAGGAAGAACGTTACAGTTTCAAGTCATGTTAATCATTGAAATGATACCCCTTTGCTTCTGCCATAGTCTGACGGTTAGAACCAAGTCACAAGCTCTGCCTACACACAGGGGGAGGAGATTTTTCAAGGGCACGAATAACAGGAGGCAGGATCAACGGGGACTGACTTAGAATCTGCCAAATTATCAGAGCAGATGAGAAAGACTGCTTAGCTTGGCACTGCCTCCCAATTCGCCACAAACAGGTTGTCAGATTGCCCGGGGACTTCATTCAGTATATTGTGTACTGATTATAAGTACATTTGCATCTGTAATTGCCCTAAGTCTGTTTTATTTTCTATGCATTTGTATTGTGCTTTATAAGTCTTCTGCAGCTCACAGGTAATAGATGTTGCAGGCAATCTAAAAAAACAATCCCAAGAATGTTTTCAATCATCTGTAATTCTCGATTCACCTGAACTGCCCAGAATTATGCAATTTCTCCTTCTCTATTATTCTTTCTATATGTTTGGTAATAACTTAAAAACTGGTTTTGAAACAGGATGAACACATTTGGTACCAGAAAGCTGCATATTAAAATAGATATTTCCCTCCCTCAAGAGGTGTAGTTACTACTTACACAATACAATATATCTTCCCATGTCAGAATCTTCCTAGAAGCCACACAGAGTGTTCAAATCATGAATTCATCATCATGTTTAGATAGAATAAATTAAGTTTCACTGGCATTTCAAATTAGCATCCCTTTTCTTAATCTTATTCCCTCCTTCTTGGAGTCAGTGGTTTGTGTAGTGACTGACATGTGCGTCTCCCAAGCTTTCTGCCGCGTACACTCCTGCCAGGTGATGGCGGATGGCTCTTCTGTAGCCATATTGGACTCTTCTGTTTTAATCTTTTCTCAGGAATTATTTCCCTTGAATTATCGTATTAGTTTTCTGGCCTCTCTCCAGTTTTGCTTTCATGTCAATGATTTGTAATATCATAACTACTGGAATGGAAAAAAATGCAGACAGGCACTAACAAGAAAATAACTACCTGAAAAACATGAAAACGTTTCACTCTGCTATGGAGGAGGGGTACTCGAGAAAATCATTGGTCCTGCGCAAGGCCAGGCCAACACAAAGTTTTGGGGTTTTTTTTCTTCCCAATTCCAGTCTCCTACTTCCTACTTTTAGCAACCCTCCTTTGGAAGCTGAAACTGCCTGGTTACTCAGCACGGGAAAGGGCACCCTGACTACCTGCGTTCGGGGAGAACTCTGATTCTGCATGGACTGGTCTTGGTGACTGTGCTGTTGGATTGGTCATTTGGCTCAGCTCTTAGGAATTTATGTAACCCAATATAACAGTGCTGCTCCCTCCCCCCCCCCCCATGTTTATAAAACAATCAAACTATGCAAACTCAGCCTCTCTGGTTATCATCCCTAGCCCTCTGTTTATATTTCAGCAAGATTTTCACTATTTCTTTTACGATTTTCCCTTCTAATAGCCATCTTCTCCTTCCCAAACCCCAAGATCCCACTCTAGAGCCTCATGCTCCAGGCCTCCCGCACCCAGCCCCTCACTCCAGGGCAGCGGGAGCTCAGGCTCCAGGAGGGCGTGTTGTGGACGAGAGGGCACATGGAGAAGCCCACTCAGATTTCACTCCTGCCTTTTCTTTCCTTCATTACTCCCTCCACTATTTACAGAGCACCTGCCATGAGCCACGCCCTATTACTAGAGCTATGTGGGATACACCTTGCACTGTAGCCTAGTTTTCTCCTCTGTAAAAAGAAGAGAATGAGGAAATTTTTACAGATTTTATGTATTTATTTTAGAGCAAGGGAAAGAGAGGGAGAAAGAGAGAAAAACGTTGCTTGCCTCTTGTGTGTGCTCTGAATGGGGAATGAACCCACAGCCCAGGCACATGCCCTGACTGGGGTCTGAACCAGCGATCCTTCACTTTGCAGGACAATGCCCAACCAACTAAACCACACTGGTCTGGGTGGAAAACGAGGAATCTGTTGTGAGGTTTAGAGATAACGTATGGAAAGCACCCAGGAAGATGCCTGGCACACAGCTGTGCTCTGCAAACGGTAGCCGGAGTTGCACCCAGCTGTGCTCTCCCTGCTCCCTCATGCCCCCGCCATGCCCACCTTCAGTGGGTCCTTCTCTGTGAGTCCAGTGCTACCGAGTCCTCTTTGTTCCCTGGGCTCCCCTTCCTTTTTTATTAGACTGAAAAATTAGTCATCTTGGACATACTGAGTAGCGTGGATGCAGAGAAATGTACTACTGCCCTTGATGCAAAAGATCTCTCCTTGCTACTTCTGGCCAGCCACAGTTCTGTGTTGTATGTTCTCATTGTTCAGTATCTTCTGCCACTCTCTCTCTTTCTCTTTTTTTTTAATCCTCACCCAAGAATATGTTTATTGAGTTTAGTGAGAGAGAGACATTAATCCATTGCTTCCCATATGTGCCTGACCAGGGATCAAACCTGCAGCCCAGGCCTGTGCCCTGACCAGGAATCAAACCCCAAAACTTCTGGTACACAGGATGCCACTGCAACCAACTGAGCCATCTGGCCAGGGCTTTCTGCCTCATTCAAGATCGCCATGATTCTAGATATTTTAGACCCGGTATCTAATTCTAGACCTTGAAAAAAATGGGGAGTCTAGGTTTTATCAAGCAGTACCAATTACAACTCATAGGAAAGAAGGAAGGGAAAATGGTTGGGCATCTAATATAGGCACCATACTTAAAGCTTTTGGGTACATTTAATCCAGACAACAGCCTTGGCCGGTAGGCTGTAGAGAGTTAAGGACTTGCTGAGGCCCACAGAGCTGTCAGAGACAAAGCAGAGATTTAATCCCCGGAGCTCTGACTCTCCAGTCAATGCTAACATCTTATTGCCACCATAAAGACATAAGCAATATCTGTATCTCATTTATTGTCTCTACGTCTTTATTCATGGACTGTCCTAAACTTGTTTCTGCTCAAGCAGGTCCTAGACCTCAGCGGCAATGCCCTGACCGCCGTCCTGCCGATGATGGCCCTCGCTCTAGGACTTCCCCGTCTGGACGCTGACTTGGCAGATAACCGATGGCAGTGTGACGATAGCGTGGTGGCCTTCCAAAACTTCATTTCTGAATCCTGGAGGAGAAAGTGGGATGAAATTTGCAACAAGTCTATAGGTACCTCTTCTCTCTGAAAGGGTTCCAGCTGAATGGAACTAAAAAAAAAAAACTAAAAAAAAACGAAAAATGTGGTCTTATTTGAGACAATGAGGGCGAGAGCGGTGGCGACCCACAGCCCCGCGCAGCCTCGGGCTGCGTGTATCGCAGGACGGCCATTGGCACCTGACTGCTTCCTTCAGTTCCTGGGTGGTTTTCCTTATGTGGTCGAAGAAACCCAGGTCAACCACCTCAGGAACCACTGGATGTGGTCAAATTCAGAAATTTATAGAGAGAATTTTGCCCTGAAGACCCCCAAATGTCACATTTTTAATCCCAATTCATAATGAATAATCAAAGAAAGAAGTTTTAAAACTTGAAACATGATCACCTAGAATATTTGCTAACACTCTAAAAATACAATCCTATACAGAAACAAAAAACACATATTTCAAAAAGTATATATATATACTTTTGGCTTGTTCCCTGCCACTCTCTCAAAGTTGAACATTCTGGAAAGTTTTTTCCACTGTTATCTTGGCTTCATCTCTGACTCCTAACTGGAAGGTGGGGGAGAAAGTCATATTTTTTTTAATGAGCCCTGGACTCTCTCTGTTCAGGACTGACATTAGAGTAGAAGCTCGGCCACAATACCAGGTGTGGAAGAAATACACGAAGACCAGAGAGCTGTCTTCGGGTTGTTGGCCACACTGGTTTCTTTCCTCTCTAGAGATCACACCTGGCCTTCCGAGTGTGAAGGGCAGAATGTCAGGAGGCAGCAGAGAACCCTGGGTATCTTTGCTGTTACCAGCCCCAGGGAATGGTGAGGAAATGCTGAGGCGGATTTTGCAGAGCGCTGATGGGGTGTTCTCACAAAGGTGCAGTGAGTTAGGGTATGGAAAAAGGAGAGGCAATGAGGCTATGCCTCCAGTCTGGCTTCTCTCCTCCCGTGGGTAGCCATCTCGGTCAGGAAGCCTAAGAAACACACACCTCCAGGGCCAATGAGCAGCAGACGTGAGCCTGGCGGGCACATGTAAATGTGCACAAGGCCACAGGCGTTCGGCCAGCACCAGACCATCAATCCGTCACTAAAGCTGCTTCTCATTATGTCACATGTACTTTAAAGACAGCTAGATAAAGAGGGGGACTGACAGAGCTTTTGAAACCACTGGGCTCTCATCTCAATGTGTTTTACCCCCCACTTTCAGGGAACGAGGAGGCATCCTGGCAGACTCCCAAACGCAGAGTTTCCAGGGAGATCCAGCTTCCTCACACTAATCTGAATCACACGAAAAGCCTCATAAGGAACAAAGTGGTGAGGCCCCAGGAAGGAACGTACGGGCGCTTTTCCACCCTGGGGAAGAAGGACCACGCAGGCTCTGATACCCCTGAGCAGCGGAGACGGCCCCCAAGATGGGTGAGGAGCACACAGGACGTGCAAGTGGCCAGTGGGGAGGAAGCCGCCTCCCAGGACCTCGTGCTGGCCATCTGCTTAGCTGTGTTCATCACATTCTTCGTGGCTTTCTGCCTGGGGGCTTTCGCAAGGCCTTATATTGACAGACTGTGGCAACAGAGACGCAGAAAGAAACAACCGACTTCAGACCACGCATATTACAACGAGGGCTACAGCGACATAGAAGGTGCTGGGAACATCCAGCGTCCAAGGGTGGATCTGCTCCGTGCTTGGGGTCTAAACCTCCATGAGAACCAACACCCTTTCTCAGGGATGGAGGCCTGCCCACAGTCTGCCGTCATTCCTGATAGAGGCCTGGGAATGAGCAGAAAGGAGCCCGGCAGCAGGCAGAGCAGGGAACAAGGCAGGGCTGACACTGGGGCGGAAAGGCGGAAGGATACTACGCTTCCAAATGGCAGTGCAGCCTTTTCTGTTGGCCGTGGACCGCCAAATGCTGCCAGCAACGCACCCATTTCAGCAGAACAGGACTACCTCTGCAGGAGAGGTATTCTTGGAGAAATCGATTATGAAACTGAGGCCCCGGAATATTCTCTCAGTCAGTATTCACTGGGGGTCCCTGTGACAGCTGGCAGATCACGAACTGGCTCTGGCTCAGTCCATAAGGGTGGGAGTGAGTTACACCCGCCGCTGTGGAGAGACACGACAGCCGCTCTCTCTAAAACACGGACACATGCAAAAGCACAGAGGACTGGAGAGAATGAGGAGAGAGGGAGCACCGAAGGGTTGCCTTCGGAGTCTTCTAAGGACATGCCAGCGAGCACTTCCGTTAGTCTGCTGAACCCACAGGAGCAGCGACTCAAAGGAGCCAGTGCTGAGGGAGAACACTTCACCTACTACTGTCCAGCCACACTCAGTGACCTAGCGGATACGGACCCGTCCCCACCGGGCTCTCCTCCAAGGTGGGGCGATGACCCGCCTACCACTCCTGCTAACCAGGCACCAGTGCAGAAACCCGCCCCTTGGGACACACAGCACGAGCTGGACGTCAACTACGACTCTGATTCTGATGAAGGGTCTTTGTTTACTCTAAGTTCGACAAGTTCAGAAGATGGAAGAAATGCGTCTGAAGAACAGGCAGATGGCGAGGAGAGTCGCAGAACCAGCGAGGTCCTGGGGGATGAGGACTCAGGGGTGAGGAAGGACAACGTGACACCATTCGAGAGTCTTGAGGACGACATCACCTTCCAGAAGAGTCAGGAGAAACATGATAATCAGGAGGATCTTTCCGAAAAACTTCTCACTTCTGGCTCAGACTCTGGTCTGTATGAGAGTCATCAGGAAAGTGCCACCAACGCCAACAAATTTGAGAACCCGTCGACCTTGCCCGGGTCACTGGGCAACCATCCTTCCAGGGATGAGATCCCAGACACGTTCGTTTCCGATTATGTCTCAGCTCTCCAGTCTGAAGCAGTAGAATGGCAGTGCTCACTTACAGACCTAGAATTTTCCAACGTGGACACTTTACCACAAACACCACCACGTCCTGCTGAAGTTTCCTCGGATCCCGATAAGATTGCCTGTCGTGAAAGAGACTCGGACAGTTGTACACAGGAACATTTCACGGAGGGAACAGACACAAATCCGAACAATGTTCCCTTCCAGATCCCTGCAGGGGAACACTTACGACCCTCCCAGCACGATTCTGAAGACAGTAGCATGCATTCCGACCCACTGGATACTGACCCAAATGAGAACCATGATTCCAGAGAGATTATAAACCAAACACAATTGTTACCTTTCTGTGGTGATGAGCTAGCTCTTCAGTATGAAAGAGGAGGGGAATAATTTGAAAAGGGTTCCAAGATCCAGGCACCATTATTTCAAGAGCTTCCAAATAAAACCCGTTCACTAAGAACTCAGAAGCCCTTCAACGATGAAGATTGGGGTAAATATTCAGAGGAGAATCGGTTGCAATTAAAAAAAAGATAATTCTGCCCTGGATGGTGTGGCTCAGTGGATTGAGCACTGGCTTGCAAACCAAAGGGTCACCAGTTTGATTCCCAGTCAGGGCATATGCCTGGGTTGCAGACCAGGTCGCCAGTTGGGGGTGTGTGAGAGGCAACCACACACTGATGTTTTGCTCTCTCTTCCTCCCTCCCTCCCCCTCTCTTTAAAAATAACTAAAAACTTTTTAAAAAATAAAAAAAGATCATTCTAACTTCTAGACTCAAATGCAGACCCAGAGCAGCTCCCAATGGGGGCTGACTGTGGAGGTGAGAACCAGCTCTGCTATGACAAAGACAAGGACATTCAACTTGAAAATAAGAGGGAATGCAAGTAACATTTTCTGTACAAAGTGAAGCCCTTAGGTGGAATGGCTGAACAGATTTTAACAAGTTCTGCAGAGAACAGCACAGCTTTTGGGCGGTTGATCATGAAACTACAAAACTGGAGGGATTAAAAGAACTTCCAAATGTTGTTAATAAGTTGTATTAAAAGTTGGGCCATTTTATAGAACAAAGTATAAATTAAAAATCAGTTTTCATCCTCGCTGGTGTGGCTCGGTTGGTTGTGTGTCATCCCACAAACCCATAGGTCACCAGTTCGATTCCTGGTCAGGGCACACACCTGGGTTGTGGGCCTGGTCCCTGGTACACAAGAGGCAACAGCCGATCAATGTTTCTCTCACACATCAATGTTTCTCTCCCTCTCTTTCTCCCTACCTTCTCCTCTCTCTAAAAATAAATTTTAAAAATCTTTTAAAAATATATTTAAAAATCAGTTTTCAAAAAGAGAAGTGGTGCTTTTGTGTAAAAGAAAAAGGGACTCCACCATTATCCTTGCTTATCCCTCCCTTGGCCTTACTGGCCAGTCAGGGCTCTCATGAGCTGTGTTCTTCCGTTTATCGCCCAGGTTCTCTGATGCTTTCTCCTTGTCTTTCCTGGCGCTCCTCCTCTGCTTGTTCTCTCACAGAGCATTCCTCGGGGTCTGTTCTCAGGCTTTGTCTCCCCTCCGCCCCGTCCTTGGGCCGCACTGCCTCATGGCCTGCTCTGCACAGACATCGGCCAGATCTGCATACTGAGGCCCCACCTCCCCCCATGTCCCAACTCACATTCTCAGCCCCAACTGCCCAAATTCAATGAATCCCCCGGGGACCTAAAATATTCATTTTCCTTTGCAATCACGATTTCCCTTATTATTTTTCTTGGTTGGTAATATCATGACATCCACACGGTGAGGCCAGTTAAAATTCAACTTATCTCTGATCCTTCATTTCCGGCCTATATCTGAGTAGCCACTAAGCTCCAAGAGTCTAAGTTCCTATCTGTCAATACAGAGAGACATTCAGTATGGCCATCGGGACGGGGGCCAGCCGAATCTGTCAGCCGGGGTTTACATCGAAAGCAGCTCATCTTTTACTTACACTGTGTGTATGTAGGGCAGATGAAGATGGAAGATAACTGAGTTTGAGAAAAGGCCTTAGGGTCCCCGAATCTAACTGTAGACAGCACCACTGGTCTTATAGAAGCTGGCTCCTTAGTAACTCTACTGTTCGCCCCAGATAAGACACATTCCTTATCCATCACCTAGATTATTATAAGGCTTCTTTGTAATCCTTAGCTCTCCTTGCCCTCACCCAAGCAATCTTATATCCTATTCATCGTCCCACTACGCAGAAGCCTCAGATAGTTCCCCATTTCCTACACGAAGACCAAATTCCACAGACACCGCCTACCTTTCCCACTTAATCTCCTAACATTATCGCTTCACCACACACTCTATAGTCTCGTTGACCTCATTTGTGTCCATCATTTATTCACTTCAGCAAATTTCTGAGGCTTTCACTGGTCCCTGATCAATCCCCCTCCCCATCCAAAATCACTATTTTGAAATTTCCCTGTCCTTGAACTTTCACTGAGAAAATTTAGGCTATCGGGAAGAAACCCTCACTCTCCTACCCCATAGCAGTAAACATTTTACTATTCATACCTGTCTCATCCCTTCCTTCCACTCTAAGAAGTCAGAGTTCTGTGGTCAAGGTCAATTCCTCCTGCCTGCTCTTGTTGCAGTCCTGGGCACAGGTCCGTTCCTGTTTCTCATGCCTGCACTCCCAAGCCCTCCCTATTTAATGGCTCTTTCCCACAGGCTAAAAGCAGTCTCAAGCCTCTTCAACATTAAAATGAAAGAAAACACCACCCTGTAACTGCCTCGAAATGCCTCCTTCTTCTCTCGTCCATGGCTAAGCACCTTGCAGGAATGGTCAGTGACTCTCCGCTGCCTCTTCAGGGCACTGCGGTCAGGCTTCCACTCACCGTTCCTTTAACCTGCACCAGCAGATACCCCCAGCAACCTCTGTTGGCCACATACCGTGGACTTCGAGTGTAACCTCCCCAGCATCTGACACTGCAGGTCACTCCTTCTTGATCCCCTGTTTCCGTGGTTTTGTTATGTGACTGCAAAGGTGAGGATCTCAGCAGGCCACAGGCAGCAATGAGCAGGGACAACTAGGGAGAGTTGAGTGAAGGAACCTTTGGGCAAGACCTGGGCAGGATTAAGGGAAACTGGCAAGGACAACAGGAAGAGCCTTTCTTGTCCTTAGGCCTGAAGAGACGAAAGGATTCACAGCCATGGGCGCTCAGCAGGAACTGTGGTCTTGGGCCAAGGAACAGAGCCATGAAAGAGCCACGAAAGAGCCACAGTCCAGCAGGAGGAAGCCCAGAGAATCATCACCCAGCCTCTCTCTTCTCGCCCTCCAGCCTTTTTAGAGTGCCCCCCAGTGGCCGGCCCCCCCGAAGCCAGAGAGGAAGTCGGCAGAGGTCAGCCTCCTCCAGGCCAGCCTTCCAGAGCTGGTGTCAAAGGGCAGAAAGCAGACTTGGAAGGGCACATGGAGACCATCCAGCACGTTCTTTCTTCTGTTCTTCTCCCGTTCTGGTCACCCTCCCTCCAGTTCTTTGTCTCCTTCTTCTTCCTATGCTCACTTCTTAAGTACCCGTGTTCCCCACGGCACGGTCCTGGCACCTCTGGTCTTTTTCCTCAGTTCACTGTCCCTATGTAAGCTAGCAATTGTCAAAGCTTCCACCTCTACCTACAAGCCGATATTTCCTTTCTCTGTAACTCCAGCTTTGAAATCTTTCCGGCACTTTGCACTCACATCCGGCTGCCTAATGGAGATCTCCATAGACACTTCAAGTTGAGTGTGCCCAAAGTGAAACTCATCGGCGCCCCCTAGCCCTCTCCACCCAGCGAATCTGATCTTCCGTGTTCCATTTCACTGTCCACCCATCGCTCCATCCAGAAACCTGGAGTCATTTTTCTGATGCCCTTCTCCTCACTTCCCACATCTAACTCATTGGTCATTCGGCACAGCTAACTCCAGCCCCTAAGTAGCTGTCAGGTCTCTTCCCTCCTCTCTGTCCACAACGTCACAGCTGTAGTGCTCCCCTCGACACTCCCACAGATCTAGGATAATAGCACGTGAACTGGCTTCTTGACCTCCTTCTACCTGTCTTTACGATTTCCACACTCCAGCCAGGGGGTGGTTTCTGAAGCTCAAATGTCACTATGGGGCTCCCCATAGAGGCTATCCTGAGGCTACAGGCTTTTCTGTTTCTCTAAAGCGTCCCCTAACCCCGTCTCCAGGCCTCTGCCCACATCACCTCGCCTGAAATGTTCTTTCCAACCCGCCCAACAGCCTTCCCACAAACGAGCCCTCCTTGAGCTCCTACTTGGTTCCCAGGTTTATCATCAGGGAAGCTTTCTTGGACCCCAGATTCTGTTACATTTCCCTGGTACAAACTCTCTCATGATGCAAGCCTTGCCCTTCACACAGGAGCACTTACACAGCAACATTAAATAACAACCTGTGCGATTTTTGATTTAATGTCTGCCTGCCCCCGTTTTACACTATAAGTACTCTGAGAACAACCTCCAATAAACAGTGGCATGTCTCCCTGGAGCCTCTGCCACGTATCTTGTCATTTTTGTCAATGGGCTGTCTTCCCCAAAGCCCTTTTCCATAAAGCCCGAGCGTGCCCTCAACCAAGAAGGCCTCCTACACAGGGCGATAACCAGGGGACCTCTGTCCAGGCTCTGTGGGAGTTACTGATTCCAGGTCAAGTTTTACAGATTGTGGAAACAGTATGAGATTGGAGAGAGTGAGATGACCACAGAGACCACGTGGGCATTTGTTAGAGGAGGCGGTGGGGGAGGCGGTGAGAGAGACATAGAAATAAAAGGACCAACTGGAGACATTGTAAGGTTAAGATCCACAGTGCTACCCTGGTTGGTGTAGCTCAGTGGATTGAGCGCCGGCCTGTGGACCAAAACGTTGCTGGTTCAGTTCCTACCAGGGCACAGGCCTGGGGTTGTAGGCCCCTCCCCCCACCCCCTCCAAACCTTCCTCCCTCCCTTGCTTCCATCCTCCCCCTTGGTTTTGTCCAGGTTCCTGAAAACCCTTCTTCCCACTGTCCCCTCCCCCTCCCCTCTGGCTATTGTTAGATTGTTTTTAATTTCAAGGACTCTGGTTATATTTTGTTTGCTCTTTTCTTTCGTTGATTATGTTCCAGTTAAAGGTGAGATCATATATTATTTGTCCCTCACCAACTAATGCTTTGACCACTTAAATAGCAGTTACCTAAGTACACCTAGAGATACATACACTTTTTTTGACCATTTTTAGATTCACTAGTTAACATTTTTGCCATAGTTGCTTGTGTGCACTCCCTCTGCATAAACATAAATATATGTGTGTGTGCATGTATGTACGCATGTGCAGGGGTGGGCAAAAGTAGGTTTATGGCTGTGAGTATGCAAAGCACAGAGTTTATTCTTTATTATTCATTAACTATTGTATTATTTCCCATACAAACAACTGTAAACCTACTTATGTCCACCCCATATGCATATATACAGTATATATGTCTATAGCATGTATAACATTTTATCTGATATATAATAATTTTATGTGTATAAAACTGGGTAACTATACAAAGTGTCCATAAAATCCAGAAACATAGGTGAATAAACCGAATGTTGCCACAAATATCTTCAACCTGAAGAAGAAAGTGAAGCAGAACGATCTGGTTTCAGACTCCA